AGGGGCTGGCTCGCTCGTCTCAAACTCTACCAGCAGCACCAACTCTCTCCTGTCACTTGTGTTGCTTGGGCCCCTGCTGCTGCTCCGCAGCTTTATGGGGAGCATGGGGGCCCCCTGAGTTACAGTTTGCTGCTGCTGGCGACAACGGGGGCTGGCCAGCTAGTGCAGTGCGAGGTGGCTGCTGCTCCCGCTGCTGCTGCTGCTGCTGCTGCACCAGCAGCAGCAGCAGCAGCCAGACCTGCAGAAGAGTCCAGGGGGATCGTTCCTTTCTTCGTCGATGAGGCGATCCCCGTGAGGCCTTCCAGAGGCGCAGGAGCAGCAGCTGCTGCTCCGCCTGCTGCTGCCAGTGCTGCAGAGTCTGCTGCTGCTGCTGCTGCTGCTGCTGCTCCGCTGGTGCAGTACAGCATCACAGAAATCTGGAGAGACACCGTGGAGCAGGAGCAGCTGCTTTGCTGCGCCTTCAGCAGCAGCGGGGAAGTGTTTGCTGCTGCAGGCAGGGGCCGCACAATTTATGTTTATTCAACTGCAACAAAAGCAAAAGTTTATTCTTTGAAAAGAGCTGCCCCTGAGAACCCCCTGGTCTTGCTGACGCTATCTGCTGCTGCTGCTGCACCTGCGCCTGCAGCACAAGCAGCAGGAGCCGCGACACGAGGGCAGCAGCAGCAGCAGCAGCAGCAGCAGCAGGAAGACGCGCCTGCTGCAGCACCTGCTGCAGCAGCCCAGGCTGCCACAGGGGCAAGAGGAGGCCCAGCTGAACGCGGCCTGCCCCTTAGAAGTGCAGCAGCAGCAGCAGCAGCAATGAAGTTTGGGGAGGGCCGCCTGGCTGCTGCTGCTGCTTCCCGTGGTGCAGCAAGTCATGGTGTTGCCGGCGTGGCTGCTGCCTCGCGCGGGCCTGCAGCAGCAACAACAGCAGCTGCAGCACAGGCAGCAGCAGGCGCAGCAGCAGGCGCTGCGCCAACTGCTGCACAAGCTACGGGATCCACTCCAGCAGCAGCAGTAGCAGCCCATGGCGGCGTCTTGACACTTCGTCGGTCTCCTGCTGCAGCAGCAAAACACCCACCGGCTGCTGGTGTGGGGTCCTTAGAGCACCACGCACATGGCAACCGCATTGTGCAGGTGCTGCTGCTGCTGCTGTTGCTGCTGCTGCTGCTGTCGCTAGTCGTGCTGCTGCTATTGCCTGTGTCATCGGACCAGGTCGCTGCTTAGATAGCTGCCACTGACTTGGTTGCTGCTGCGTTGCTGTTGCTGCTTTGTTGCTACTGCTGTGCTG